AAGCAATTCCCTGTGTGGCTTCAGGTCAGAGGGAGCACAAGAGACTTACATGAGATGTGGCAAAAAATGAAACAACAGTGTTATTCAGGTCATAGAATCTAATAGAGTACATTCATGTAACAAATCTGATAGCCCTGGTCCAGAAAACTGAGACCACTGCGGCAGCAGCCAGTATTGGGGGCTGTCTTGATGCTCAGGATTGCCATCTTGGCCCCAGGTCAGGTTTATTTCCATGGCCACTCAGCAACACTCTGTGGCCACACACTTTCCCACTTCTCCACAACTCACCATGTACATACAAAGACACCTAACTGTAGTCAGCTAGGCACACAAAAACACACAAGAAACAACTCCAAACTGAAAATGTCACAATGGAAAAGCAATGCAGAACCCTACCAGGTTTAGTCAGTGAAGATGGTAGCCTGGAAAACTCAAAGAGTAATAGCGAACTATCTAACCTCCCTCACTCCTCTTGGAGAGAAATTGTTGAGGATATTTAAGGAGCTCAAAAGAAAAATTGCAATGGACCACCAAAAAGAACAAGAGAATATGAGAGCATAAATGAGGAAACTACAAACAAATGATAGAACATGCAAACTTGGTAGGTGAAACAAACAAACAAACAAACAAACAAAAATCTCACTGGAAGGCCTCAGCAGCAGAGTCCTCAGGACAGAATCAATGAACTCCAAGATGTGGTGGAGAAAACCTCCAGGGAAGAGCAGAAAATGGAAAAATCCTCAAAATAAATAACATAAACAAACAAAATATAAAATAAAAAGGAAGGAGGAGGAGGAGGAGGAGGAGGAGGAGGAGGAAGAAGAAGAAGAAGAAGAAGAAGAAGAAGAAGAAGAAGAAGAAGAAGAAGAAGAAGAAGAAGAAGAAGAGGAAGAAGAAGAAGGAGGAGGAGGAGGAGGGGGAGGAGGAGGAGGATAGAGAAGGAGAAGGAGAAGAGAAAAAAGAGCAGGAGGAGGAGAAGGGAGAAAGAACAAAAACAAGGAGAAGGAAGAGGAGGAGAAGGAGAAGGAGGAGAAGGAGGAGGAGGAGGAGGAGGAGGAGGAAGAGGAAGAAGAGAAGGAGAATAGGAAGACAAAGAGAAAGAAGAGGAGGAGGAGGAGAAAGAAGAGAAGGAGAAAGAGGAAGAGGAGGAGGAGGAGGAAGAGGAGGAGGAAGAGAAAGTGGAAGAGGAGGAGGAGGAGGAGGAGGAGGAGGAGGAGAAAAAGAAAGAAGCAGCAGCATTATTCCAGAGTACCAGGAAGGCAACTCTGTTAAACAAGTGACAGTCAACGGCATTACTGCTGAAAACTTTCCAGAGCTGGAGAATGCATCACTGGGTGCTGAAGGAGACCTGAAGAGTACCAGCTAAAAGAAATACAAATCAAAATACTCCAGGACACATCCTTATCAGAATGACGAAAATCATAGATAGACATAGAATAATGAAAGCAAGATGAAAGAAGGAAATCATATACAAAGGCGTGTCCTTAAGATTTACTAAAGATTTATCTAATGAAACCCTCCAGGCACAAAGATAGTGGTAAGGGGCTGGAGCGATAGCACAGTGGGTAGGGCATTTATTTGCCTTGCATGTGGCTGCCCCAGGTTCGATTCTCAGCATCCCATATGGTCCCCTGAGTACCGCCAGGAGTAATTCCTGAGTGCAGAGACAGGAGTAACCCCTGAGCATCACCAGATGAGACCCCAAAAAAGAAAAAAAAAAGATAGTGGTGAGAAAACTTAACGAAATGAATGCCTCACCAAGAGTGCTTTACCCAGCCAGACTTTTATTCATATTTAAAGTTACAATATAGAACTTCACAGAGAAATAACTCAAGAAATTCATAAACTCAAAACAAATCAGACAGCTCACCTAGCTGGGTGAATGCCCTTAGGTACACAGACAACCAGTACATGCTGGAAATACTATCCTCTTTTGGGCTCTTAGTGTCTCCCATGCAGTTTATGTGCAGCTATACCCAAGGGTACTAGTTTATCTTTTAGGTCATGGAGATAAACATGGAGGCTGGTAGAATAGTACAGGGGGTAAGATTCTTTCCTTACATGACCCTGCATGGTCCTTGAGCATAACTGGGAGTGATCTCTGAACAGAGCTAGCTGTAGCCCCCAAACACCACTGGGTGTGACCCAGAATTTACCCCTCGATTAAAAGAGACAAACAAGAGTTTCCATTTGCTTTTGTGGGTGCCAACTTGGCCTTGTTCTATCAACTGAACTTCTATCTTTACTTCCTGTTAGCCTGACTGATACATCCAACACTAGAGGACTTATCAGTCCAACATAGACTTTCTCACCAGTGCCCACAATTGTAGGAGGCCATTGTAATACCTTTCTTGATTCTGTTCGTATCAGTCAATGCTTGCTTAAAGCACTGATTGATAAATGTATTCCAAATTTCCGATGGAAAGGGGGTGTCTCCTCCTTAGAGTTCTAAGGATGTAAGGGACATGTGATGAAAGGAGATGGATGGCATTCGTTTACCAGCTAGATAGGATCAAGGTTTTACTTATGCTAACCTGGACTCCTCAATGAGTGTATTTGAGTACCTGTAGCCCCTGGAAGCAAACTGGTGTAGACAGATTGAGAGGGAGTGGCTAATGACTAATGACTATTCATCAAACAGTCAGAAGTGGTGCCATTCCATCAGGATTTGGGGATAATTTCAGCTTATAAGGAACTTGAAGTCTTAAGTAAACATGAGCAAGGATGAAAGTTTACAATGAGTAGTAGAGAGTATAGAGAAAAAGGGGGACATGATGGTCCAGACAAGGGGTCAGGACAGGGAGAATGGAGAGTATGAGTATGACAGCCTAGGGAGACAAGCTCCCAGAGGCAAAATGCTCAAGTAACTGTGCCCAGTTGTCAGGAACATCCCTTGTGCCTCAGTCCTTGCTTTGCATAATATATCATTTAATCACTGCAACTACCACAGGACTCAGATTTGGGAAGGTTGCATGGTTTTGGTTTGGTTTTGGCTATCCCTGGTGGTACTCAGGGGCTACTTCTAGCTTTGTGCTCATGAAGTATGTCTGGAAATGCTCAAGGACACATAAGCAGTGCCAGGATTGAACCAGGGTTGGCAAGATATAGGGCAATTATTATATTTCTTGCCCCTGGAGTCAGATTTTTATTATTCTTACCTCATTGTGTATAACACAGAAGTAGAGAGGTTGCTAACTTGTCCAAGATCACCTAGAAAAGTTGAAATACAGGAATTTTAATGTAGACATCTTTGATCTGACCTATGTTTTACTTCTCAAGATTCATGTCTTCTAGGTTTAAAACACAGCGGTGGGGAGAATCTGAGCAACCTGATCAAGCCAACGTTTCAGCACTTGAGATGACTGTGGTTCTAGGAGTCTTGACTACACACTCATTTCACATCAGCAACCCAATTCCTTCCCCATTGATACAGTGAGATGATAAACAGTATGTTGAGCCCATAAGCACTGAATGCTTATTCCTCCAAAGTTGGTAACTAATACATTGTTCCTAAGTTAAGACATGAAGGTGTGATAAGTGGGGGTATTGGATGGAGGAGGATAACTCATGGAAAGTCCCCAAAAAAGCCTGACTAATAAAGAAAGTACCCAAAATTCTCTTCTGGCTTGGGAAATTATGAAAAGACAAGAGAGAAGGGAAGCAGGTTGGGAGACAGACATGTCCTCCTGGTGCTTGAGTGCTTGGGCTCAGAGATCCATGTGATAGGTTGAAAGAAAAGGAAGCTCCTGTTTGGGTCAATAGAAGGTGATTTTATCCAAGGATAGCCTGTGCCAAACTATTGCATAGAGAAGAGACAAGATGTTTACACAAAAACCCCCAGTGTATGTGTTGGGGTTGGGAGGTCACCCAGAAGCAGGCTGAAATTTATCAGACAGTTTTATGTTTCCATGGCAATGAGACAGAGTGACCTAAACAAGTCAAAGAGAAGTCACCTCCAGATCTCAGGAGTTCCAATGCTGGACAGAGCTGCAAAGGCGCTAAGTCCCCAGGAGGACTGCTAGGCCCCAGGGAAGCAGAGAACAAAACACAAGTGACAGTGTCCACATCCAATGTCACAGTTTACCAAATACCCAAGAACAGGAAACTCAGCAAACCTGTGGAAAACCAGGAAGTCCTGTGACATAATCTCAAACAGAAGAATGCTGGTGAGCAGGGCCGGGGAGCAAGGAGAAATGAATGAGACCTGATTACCCCACATCCTAAATAAGAGAACTGTGCCAAAAAGAATGTTCCAGAGATTGGGTTACATTGAATTCCCCTCCCCCCGTTTTTTAATTCCCTTATTCAGTGGTGATTAGGGGAGAGGTTGAAAAGGAAAATCACACAATCTTGGAAACCACTGATGCTTCTGTTTCTGGACATATGTCAGTCCAGGGAATAAAGCAGGGATCTAATTCAGATGCCATGAACACATGTCATCAAGACTTCCAGAGGCTCACTCAAAAGTAGAGAGAGAGTATGGGGGAAATTGTCTGCCACAGAGGTAGGGGGAGACATTGGTGGTAGAAGATGTGCACTGGTGGAGGGATGAATGTTCGATCATTGTATGACTGAAACTCAAACAAGAAAGCTTTGTAACTGTATCGCATGGTGACTCAATAAAAGATTTTTTTAGAAAATTGAAAAAAAGAAAGACTTCCAGAGACTGTAATTAGGGTTTTGGGGTGTGAGGTCTAGAACACAGAACCAGAGGGGATCCTACACAATATCTAGCCCCCAGGATTTTTGTCCTTTGGTGTCTTTTCTGGAATCCCCTATGTCTCTACTGCTCCAGCCCATGACCCAATAAACTCCAAAATGCTGGTACTGAAAAGATGTCATCATCCTTGTCATAGGAATTTTTGGGGAATTACACTTTGGGGATCTATGTTCACAGACTATCAGCAAACTCTCAGTCCAACGCAAGTAGCTTGGAGAAACAACAAGTAGGAATCCACACAGACACTCATTCTGGGGGTCAGAAACCAACCCTCGTTTTATTCAAATGTGTACAGGGTATGAGGAAGGCAAAGGACCACATTGTGGTGTAGCAGTGGACACGAAAGTCAAGGCCACAACCATGCCCCCTGTGGTGAGAGTGTGACTGAATCTCAGTCTGGCTGGTATCTTAGAAGAGCCCTCGTAAAGCCCAGTCTTCACGGTCAGTCTTTGTTCCATCGTATCTGACCGTGATGTTTGCACAGCCGCAAGGCCAGCGGGGAAGCACCAGGTGGCTTGAATAACCATTTTCCTTGGTTATTCACCCAGAGTTCTGTTTGGAAAGAAATTCAGTTCTTACATGCTCTCATGTCTTATACATGCTCTGAGGAGCCAGGGAAGCAGTGGATGACCAAAACAGATGAACTCTACTCCCCTCTGCTGAGTTTCCCCTGAGATCAGGCAGATTCATGGGTAAAATCACACCTCACCTCTGCCCTGCCACAGGAATCTCTGGATTTCCAAAGAAGCTTCTTAAAGGGCCCGAGGCTCATTTCATGTTTCTCTCTATCCAGTCTTTAAAGGGCAGCACTTTGGTGAAGGCTGTGGAGAGGCTGTGGCTGCACATTTTGTCATAGCTCCAGTTAACCAGCCCCACCAGATGCCAGCGAGGCTCAGGAGATGCCCTGCCTGGGAAAGACATAGCTGCAATGCCCCCTGTGTCTGCTGTGCAGATATTGGAAGGGGCACTGGGGTCTCGGCTGGCACAGAACATGTTGTCTGTGACACTCACTGGAATTCCACGGTCTTCATGCTGTTCCTCACACAGCAGCGAGTCCACCACCCTCACCATCCCCGAGCGCAGCGTGTCATTCTTGAAGGTGGGGCTGTTCACATCTGCCAGAACATTCCACCCAGCCACAGTGATGTGAGCCTCCTGGAAGGAAATGCTGAGGTCCCGAGGGGCAGCCAGGCAGATGGGCTGGACACGGGTGCTGATGCGAGCCTTGTCCAGAAGCTTCAGGATGGCAATGTTGGCATCCAGCAGAATGGGGTCATAGTTGGGGTGCAGAATGATCGCAGAAATCTACAAAAATCAGAAATGGTCATAGTGGGTGAGCAATCAAGTTCAAGGTGAACAAGAGCAGATAAACCCTGGGATTAAATTGTCAGGAGAAACTAAAGAGATGGCTACAATGAGGTAGAGATAGATTATCTGTTCATTGGATCCTAGAAAGCAATGCCTCTATGTTCAGAGACACAAACTGAAATGCCTACTGGAGCCTGCAGGTGGTGGTAAATGAGGGAAGAGGTCAGGTGAGGTTTTAGAGACTAAGACACTATTCTCATGAAAGTAGCAGTTGCCACTTCACTCCAGCCAAACCCTGCCATGCAGAAATCACTGTTGTAACTATCTCAGGGAACAGACTCTGGGTCTTATTTATGACCACCTGAGTCTTAAAGTTGGCAAATAATCAACTTATATCACTTTAAAAATCACTATCAAGGCTGGAGAGATAGTATGGGAGGTGAGCCTCTTGCCTTGCATGCTACCAATTCTGTTCGATCCCCAGCACTGCATATAGTCCCCCAAGAACAGCTAGGGGTCACTCTTGAGCACAAAGCCAGGAGAAGCCCCTGAGCATCACCAGGTATGGCTCTACCTAAATTAAATTTAAAAATTAAAGTCACTATCAAATAACATATCAAACTTAAATCTCTACAGGTGACTAGTCTATACCTTCTCATCAATTATACACTTTTCATTTACTTTTTTTGTTTATAAAGATAAACAAAAAATATTTATATTTTGATACTGGGGTCATACCTGGTGATGCTAAGATTTACTCCTGGCTCTGTGCTCAGGGATCACTCCTGGAAGTGCCCAGGAGACCACATGTGGTCTCAGAGATCAAACTCATATGCAAGGAAGCACTTTACCTGTTGCACGATTTATCCAACTCCTCATTTATTTTTATTTCCAATAATAACTATATCTAAAACGTTCCACAAAACTTTTTCACAGTATTTCCCAGCTGTCATAATTCTTACTGATCATTATTTGAGGATGATTTTAGGAGTATATATTTGAAGCATAGTGTAACATTTTATGAACATGTTTAGTACTTTTACAACTCTGGCATATTTCCTTAGGGCTTCTCTTACATTAGACTACTCACTATAAACTGGTCTGTCTTTCTCACTAAACTATGAAACCTTAAAGGGAAAAATCCAGCCCTTTTCTAGTATTATGTCTGTTCCCAGTGAATGTGATGCTATGTAATCTCAACAACTCATGTGGATAGCTATATGGTTGGCTAGTTGACTGGCTGGACAAATAATGGACGGATAGATGGATAGATGGATTGATGGATAAATGGATGAAAAGATTACAGATGGAGAAATGGGTAGATAGATAGGTAGATGGAGAGGTGCATGGAGAGATGGATGGTTGGATGGATGGATGGATGGACGTATGAATGAACAGATTATTGAATAGACAGATACATGAATAGATGAACAGATAGCTGAGTACATGAATCAAGGATAGAACGAAGGCAGCAGAGAAAGAAATAAAATTATATATTGATAGGAATAACTTGGAAAAGGGCTGAAGCGATAGCACAGAGGTAGGGCATTTGCCTTGTACGTGGCCAACCTGACCGACCCGGGTTCAATTCTCCCCTCTTGGAGAGCCTGGAAAGCTACCGAGAGTATCTCGCCCTCAAGGCAAAGCCTGGCAAGCTATCCGTGATGTATTTGATACGACAAACATAGTAACAGCAAGTCTCACAATGGAGACATTACTGGGCCTGTTAGAGCAAAATGATGAACAATGGGAGGATAGTGACAGTGACAATTTGGACAAAAACTCCCTATTATATCTCACAGCCTATTAAGGATAAAGCTCAAATTTTAAAAGATGAGTTATTAAATAATCATAATGACAGATGACATTTATTTCTATCTTTTTCCTAAAGCAACCAAAGGAAAGAAGGCTCAGAAATCATTCTAGATGCTTTCTTTCTGGTCTCTACTAATATAAATATTGGGTCTCTCGTACATGCCAGTCTGAGACACTTGCTTTAGTGCTAAGGTAACAGAAATGGCAACCACAACTCTCCTCATGCTTGGAGCTTCCTGAGACAAAGACCCACTTGGCAAGTTGCAGTTCTCTCTCACCCGTAAGCTCTGGATGGTCTTCTCATCCCGGTCATCGTCCCGGTAGAATTTTCCCAGGACGACTTTCAGGTCTGCTGTTTTGATCATGGTTACCTTCCCCAGCTCTGTTACACAGTGGGCAGCTACCACCACAGTGCGCTCATTCACCAGGGCACCACTACAAACCAGGAACCACGAGTCTTTGTGTAGACTGCCACCATGGATCCCACTGGCCCTCCTGTAGATGGCAGCCTGCCATGGCCAGTGCATTCCTGGAGTCTTGGTAGCGGTGATGTTCTCAGTTTTCCCACAGACTATGGAGAAAGCATCAGAAAAATTAACTCAGACTTTCTCATGGAGAGGGGAGTATCACCCAATTTTCATATACATGGAAAGTTGTGACCATAGTAACAACCATAGGCACCAAAACCTACTTTGCTTTTCCCTTCATTAGCTAGCTGATTATATAACTGAATGTTTGGCAATAAAGTCTAGTGTTAATACTGGAAGCTTCCAATTCTATGTACAAACTAACAACAGGACACTGGGCAAGTTACCTAATCTTTAAAAACCTCAGACATTTTGCCTGCAAAATGGAGATGGTAATAACAATTTTCTCACTGAGTCTTTGGTGAGATTGGATGAGATAATATATGTAAAAATATATAAGATTAAGATAATATAGCATATGTTATCATATATAATTATCATTAAAAGTATGACCACAATTCACCAAAATACTGTTCTCTTCTGACAGAGGGTGGAAAAGGTAGCTAATGTGCCAAGCCCTACTTCAAATGCTTCCATGAATTATCTCAGAAATCATCATTATGACCTGACAGGACAGGTAATTAAATACTTAATGACTGATTAATAACCATCAATAATTAATAACCATTAATAATCCAAGTGATGCATGAAATGAACATGCAATCTGGACTAAACAGCAACAAAGATGTCATCATTAGAAGTCCACTGGTGCCTTTTAGTCCTTCGCTACTTGGTGTCTCTTTTCCCCAAGAAAATACGACAGAATTCTTCACAAGGAAATATGCTCCTCCCCGCCAACCCCAAATACAGCTCCGATGCAATGACTTCATTTATCCTGGGTGGAAGCCAGAGGAAGGAAGTTCTAACTGGAATTTCAGATATCTCCAACGTAAGGAAAGCATTGGAGGACCATTTGGACAAGAAACTTTCCCCCCAAAAGACTTCCACAGGATGAGTGACTTTTCCTCAGTGGCCCTGGGAGATATTATTTCCTCCAGCCCAAGGACAAACTTTGACTCACTAGGGGTGCAGGATGGGGCACGCCCACTCCATTTCCCAGTCTTCAGACACGTCCTCCGGCTGCTGCCCAGGCGGCGATAGAAGGGCGAGAAGCACTCATACTGGAGCTGGGTGTGCAGATGTTGGTACCCAGGGGGCAGGTCTCCAAAGGGAAGGGCAGCCATCTTGGTAGGGTTGTCTTGCAGCTTCTGCTTGCTGAAGGCTGAGGAGTATAGCTGGTGTAATGGTGTCTCCCTGCAGGGGAGGGCCACAAGCCCACAGAGAGAGAGAGAAAGAGAGAGAGAGAAAGAGAGAGATAGAAAGAGAGAGGAGGAGAGATCGAGGAAGAGAGAGATAGAGAGGAAGAGAGAGATAGAGAGATTAGGGTTAATGAAACTCACCATAGCCCCCTTTAGTGTGTATGTCAACCTCCATGTAAATATTTGATTACAGAGTAAGAAGAAAAAATCTTTATCTCTCTCTGTCTCTCTCTGTCTCTGTCTCTATTTCTTTCTCCATCTCTCTCTCTTCTCTGCCTCTCTGTCTCTCTGTCTCTCTCTCTCTCACACACACACACACACACATAGACACAGACACAGACACAGACACACACACACACACACACACACACACACTGTCCCTGTACACAGAGCAAATTTCCTTGCACCCCCTCACTTTCCTCTCTTCCTCTCCTTTTCCAACTCTGGCATGACTCCATGCGCCACAGAAGCTTATCTGCAGGTATGTTTTACATGCACAGCACAAAGAATTAATTGTAAGATTAAACAGGAAAGGGAGCTAATTTGAATGAAAGAAATCCAAGCATCTTTTTTTCTCTTTAGCCATTATCATAATGGGGCAATATTAGAAATTGTCTCGAACTAAACTGTGTTGATACAGTAGCTTGATTTAGCAATTAGTAGATGTAATTAGTACACCTTGGAGAATATGACTTCTCTCAGGGCACACTGATCGAAGGAAATAAAAAGCATTGTATGTAAATGCAAGAAGCCTTTAAAATGAAGCCACAGCCCCCAGAGACCATTCAGGGATGGGGTGGGAAGAGGTGTGCACATTATATGGTCCGGGCTCAATTTATACTAGCACAGAACAATGGTTAACTGAAAAGTTACAATTCCCTTAAGAATCGTTGTTTTCATCTCTGTTTAATGAATGGGGGAAGGAAGTTTGCGGTGGTAAAGTGAGTGCTTAAGGGGCACACAGGAGCCTAAGATGGTACCAGTATAGCACTTAGCAGTCTTGGCTTTCCACAGAGCCTATTTGATACCATCTCATGAAATCTATTTCAGGGATCTAAAAAGTGCCTTGATCAGAATAAATATCACACCCACACTGATGGCATTCAGTACACCTTCAGCTCATGTTTTGAACCAGGTCTATAATTCCAAGAAAGTCTGTGTTTTTGTTGTTGTTGTTTCTTTCTTTCTTTCTTTCTTTCTTTCTTTCTTTCTTTCTTTCTTTCTTTCTTTTTTTGCTTTTTGGATCACACCCAACGATGTCCAAGGGTTACTCCTGGCTCTGCACTCAGGAATTACTCTTGGTGGTCCTCTGGGAACCATATGGGATGTTGAAAATTGAACCCAGGTGTGCCGTGTGCAAAGCGAACGCCCTATTCGCTGTGTTATTGCTCTGGTACTCTCTGACAAAGTTTAAATTTTCACATAAGCCCATCTGGTGGGCCTTGAAGGTCCATGCTTCCTTTTGAGGTTCCTGGGGGAGCCTGGCTGCTGGACATAGGCATAGCCCCACGCTAGCCACTTATCTTTCAGAAAGACACCTAATACCAAGTTCCAGGCTTGCCCTTGTTCTCTGCCCTCCTATTATTACTGCTTCAAAGATGGCACCAGGTGTTCAAGGTTAGTTCAAGGTCTCCTCGACAAGATGCCTCCTTGGGAAGAATAGGTCTGTCCCACTTCATAGAGAATTCAGTCTCCAGCAAGTGAGAAAGATTAGAAAAGGAAGCCAGCATTGGCCTCCATGGCCACAGGAAGTGTGTTTCCTGTAAAGGGAAGAACAGAAATGGAAGAAGAGAACCAGAGGAGGCCAAAAGACACAGGGGTGTACTGATTTAGGAACATTTCAGGCACTTGGTTAGGGACCCAGGGTTATTATGCCTAAACACAAAAGCCACTGTTAACAGGTACTGGTATGTGCAAAGTTTTGGGTGAAGATCTTGACACAGACTTCAAGGCCACAGCTAAGGATGAAGACCCAGAACATGAGGAAGACATAGAAACATCAGGCTTTGCTACTTCTACAATAGGACCTTGGGCAACACTTACCTTTTTTGTTTATCTATCTGTCATAAAATAGTAAAACAAAAACAAAAACAAAAACAAAGTGTTGATAATAAATTGATACCTATGTCAATTTATGTAGTGAAGACTAACCCATGTAAAACATTCAAAAGATCTACTGACACTCAGTCAACATCAACGCTGTGTTGAATCCTGACCAACAAGCTGAGACAGATGTGGGAGGTTTATTCCCATAGAGGAAATCAGGGGCCAGGGAGATATCTCAAAGGGATGGAGAGCAAACCTTGCACATGCAAGACCCCAAATCTGATTTCCCAAAATCATATGATGCCCCAAGTACAGCCAAGTGTGACCTTAGTATGCCTCTAAACACCACTGGGGTGCCCTCTTTAAAAAATAAGACAGTGGGGACTGGAGCAATAGTACAGAGGGTAGGCTGTTTGCCTTAAATGTGACCAACTTGGGTTCGATTCCCAGAATCTCATATGGTCCCCCAAGCACTGGCAGGAGTAATTCCTGAGTGCAAAGCCAGGAGTAACCCCTGTGCATCACCAGGTGTGACCCCCCCAAAAAAAGAAAGAGGTAAAGAAAGAAAGAAAGAAAGAAAAGAAAGAAAGAAAGAAAGAAGGAAAGAAAGAAAGAAAGAAAGAAAGAAAAAGATAGGAAACAGAAATCTCAGCAAACTTAGGAGCCTGTCCAAGTATCCTAACTACAACCCAATGAGAGCACCAAAGACAGCACTAAAGAGAGACTGAGCCAGGTCTGGAAACCCGATTTGCCAATCCAATTAATTCTTTAGTAAATATTTATTAGGTGCCTTTTACATGGCAGATTCTTTCTAAACACCGGACTGCAGCAACTGCAGCATGGACAGAACAGAAAACGTTCTTGCACTTGTAACTTTTACATTTGTCCACTGTGGGAGGAAGAGAGAGCAATGGAAGAAATCAATGACAAGAAAGCTCTGTGGGCAGCCAGGTGGAGAGGAATGCAGGATGGATAGGGAAGACCTCTGTGACAGAGAACGCAGAGGCATTCATGTGTCTGTCCACGTGGCTGGTCAGGACAGGTGGGGTGTTTCCTTCATTCATTCACTCATTGTCCTTTTTAGTTCATAGGAGCACTTGGTGAATTTGTTATCCAAGCATGGGGCTTCAGTTAATCTCTGAATAGCTGCAATTCTAGTTATGAAGCATGGGTTAGGTTATTTGGAAAGGGCCATTAGGGAAGGTCTCTCTGCAGGACAAAGATGAGTGGAGAATTGAAGGAATCCAGGCAGCGATGCCTCATTGGAAGGAGGGAGCTCTGAGTATCAAGGTTCTGGAGCAGAGATGCCTTTGAATGGGGTAGAGAGAAAGCAAGAAAGTCAGGTCATCAGGGACAAAGGGGGAGGGAGAAGGAGAGAAATGAAAAGAAAATGCCTATGAAATAAAGTGAGGAGAAGCCTGCTTGGAAATCAACCTGCATCTCCCCAGCAATTCCCCTGCATCATTGTCAGGAGAACTCTGGCTGCCTCAGATGTGAAGGGCTCATGTCCCTCCCGGGACTTTAACTCTAGTCCCTGAGCCTCTCCAGTCTGCCTCACTAGGTTACTTACCTCCAAGAGCATCTTTTGAGTCAGAACTAGCTGCATTGGTGAGGCCATCTCCTCAGCCAGCTCCCGAATAAGCCACATTGTACTCATTCCACTATTAAAATCAAGTTCCTGAAAGATCATCTTGCTTCCTACCATGCACCTACTTTCCCACGAGCCTGTGAAACCTGGACATGGTCCAACCATTGCTACCTCTTGGCGACAGCAGCTGGCTAATAAGGCTCCATCTACAGGCCCTGTTCTTTCATAGCCGGTCAGCCCCAAGTGTCCTGAAGCAACCCTAGCCTGCCTTTGGCCAAAGAAAAGGGAGAAAAGGGGCAGAGGCAGGGACCATTTTTCGTCATGGGGAACAGAATTCAAGTGTTTTGGCCTCACCTTGACTGAAGCTGCATTGGGAGAACTCTCCGTCGTACCAAATCGGAGATCTTCGGTTCTCTGCAGGCTGAAGAAGAAAAGGAACGCTGTACAGTCTGCCGGGCTCAGACACTCACACCCTTCCCTTTAGATTCATCACCAACAGCCCTGCCCAGATGCCATATCCCCTTTCCTAGGCTCTGGGAGATTGTCAGGTGAGCCACCTTTAAACAGTTCCTTTAGCAAAAGAGCATGCTGCCTTTCATGGTCACAGAAAGCCCACCAAAGAACACCTCAAAAGCTGCTCCACCTGGATGACTGGAACAATTACGGTAATGAATAGATGAGAATAATCTCTCCACAGAAATGGTATCAGCAGACATGGTCAACACAGAATAAAAGTCCAAGTGGAAGCTCTAGAACAAACCCCAGCCAGGGAGATTTTCACTGAAAACCTGTCAACCATCAGGACTTCTGAGGTAACAGAATCTTCCATGTCCTTTCTCTGCCCCAGGCTCTGGACGGTTATTGGCTGGTGACTCAAAGCCTACTTTCACTTTGCTGCAGTCTTTCTTCCCCAGTGAAAAGGACCCCTTCCCGTCTCACTTCCCAATTAAGCAGCCAAGATTCAGCTAATTAGCAACCTCAGGAACTTTGGTGGTATTAATTTGTAAGAGAAGAGTTGACAAAAATCTCTACGGATATATGTAACACCATTTCCATACTTAATAAATCCAGAAACAGAGTCTGTGCCCGGGCGGGACGTGTCGATGAAGGTCGCTTCTGGCTGAAGTCTAAAGTGATTTATTCCTTTCAGAAACCATTCTCTTTCATTCCTTTCCCCAGGATTCGGGTTGTTGACAAACACCCAGAAGGGAAAGTGAAGGGTTGAGGCAATTATCTGAATAATCTAGGCCAAGGGCACACTTTCTTCTCAGGAAATAGCCAGATAATTGTGACCTGCCTCCCCCCACTCCCCCACCAAATAGAGGGGCTGTGACCTAGAATAAGGATGTATAAATTCACTAAGAAACCAAATACCCCCACTACTGAAACATAGGTTTCAAGTTTTTCCTGTACTTAATTCCATTTTTCTGGTCCCATGTTACCTCTGTTTATTAATTTTTTTCTTTGGGGGCCACACCAGGCAGTGCTCTGTGCTTACTCCGGCTCTGTACTCAGGGATCACTCCTGGTAAAGCTCGGGGGACCATATGGGGAACTTGGGAAACAATCTGGGTCAAACATGTGCAAGGCAAGTGTCCTATCCACTGCATTATCTCTCCAGTCTCCAGATCACCTTTAAAATTTATTCCTCTACCCCTTATTTCTTAGGGCTGGAGTGATAGTCCAGCGGGTAAGGCGTTTGCCTTGTAAGCGGCCAATATGCCTGACCCGAGTTCAATTCCCCTGCCCCTCTCGGAGAGCCTGGCAAGCTACCGAGGGTATCTTGCCCGCATGGCAAAGCCTGACAATCTACCCGTGACATATTCAATATGCCAAACACAGTAACAACAAGTCTCACAATGGAGATGTTACTGGGCCCGCTCGAGCAAATTGATGAATAACGGGAGGACCCCCTATTTCTTACCCTGTCTCGTGTAGACTTTACTGATTGTTTTCTCCACCATACTTCCTGTCATCTCCTTTGTCTTCTTACTGGAACAGAGTCCCAACTCCTCTTCCTTCTACAAATTCCTCCCAACTCCTCAGACTGGCTGAGATTCTACCTACTTTTTTTATTTTTTGCTTTTTTGGGCCACACCTGGAGATGCACAGGGGTTACTCCTGGCTCTGCACTCAGGAATCACCCCTGGCAGTGCTCGGGGAACCATATGGGATGCTGGGAATCGAACCCGGGTTGGCTGCATACAAGGCAAACACCCTACCCACTGTGCTATTGCTCCAGCCCCCAGATTCTACCTACTTTTGCAGGGGTCCTTACTCAAGACAATAGTGGGACTCCTTGTTCTGAACTATTTCTCTCTTCTTCATTCAAAGAAAAGGCTCTTTGAATTTTTATCATCTTTCCTTTTTCTCTTTTTAATGTTTTATTGGAGTAGTGTTGCAGGCTTCAGGGGTACCACATTCTAATCGAATCTTCACATATACTGCATTGTGAATATATTGCATTTGATGCCACCAAAAGTCTAGCATCCATCCTCCACCATACTATTGATCCCCTTTATCCAATTTAGTCATACCTATATTTCAAACATTTTAAACCTCCTCATATGTAGGCTGGCAGAGATGATGTGTTTATTTTGCTCTTTTATTGCTTTCTGACACTACTTAATATTGCATATAGGGTTGATAAATGTAGCTATGTAAGTCATATAAATTGCTTCCATTGTTACTTGGGTTTGCATACATAAAACTTGGCCCTGTCTTCTTTCCAAAACTGTCCTGATACCAAAATTATGCTCCTTGTCAAAACAAGACATGACTAGGATCAGTGAGGTCCAGAAGAGAAGCAAATGCTTTTAATAATGTTTTTCAACTTAAGAGTCATATGTGGTTCCATGGGCGCTGGAGCAATAGTCCAGAGGGAAGGGCATTTGCCTTGCATGTGACTGACCAGTGTTCGATCCCTGGCATCCCATATGGTCCCCCAGCACTGCCAGGAGTTATTCCTGAGTGCAGAGCCAGGAGTAATCCCTGAACATTGCTGGGTATGACCCAAAAAGAAAAAAAAAGTCATATATGGTTCCAGTGAGAAGCCAACAGAGAAAGCTATTTTTTTTTTTTTATGTAGGAGTACTGCTATTTATTCAGCCACTGATTAGGCTGACTGAATTTGGCATGAACTCCACCTTACTTTTTTTCCCCCATTTTTTATAATTTTATTTATTGAATCACCATGAGAGCAGTTACAAAGCTTCCAGGTTTAAGTCTCAGTCATACAGTGAAACACCCGTACCTTCACCAGTGCCCATTCTCCACCACCAAAAACCCCAGTATACCCCCATCCCACACCCTCCCCCTACCTGTGGGGCAGATGATTTCCACATTACTCTCTCTCTACTTTGATCACATTATTTTTACAAGGGGTTCATGTAAGCATGGATGGAAGTGATCCCAAAATTCAGCACTTCTATTCCTCTAGACTTTTGAGATTAACAATTTACCTTTTATGCAAATAGGCTGTTTCCCTGACCATTCTCCATTCTGCTGGCAGATTCTCTTCTCATTGCCGCTAAGAACATACGAGTTGTTACAAAAGAAAGATAGTATGGTGCCAATTTTGGAGAAGCGCCCCTTGATAAGCCCAGGCCCTCCTGTTATTTTCTTGTACCCGTTGACTGGGCCCCCAGGGTCTGAGCAGTTTTTTTCTTCAAGGACTAAAAGAGAAAATAAAAGTGATTAAAAGACTGAAGCATTTCATTTCAGAATAAAATCTTTCCATGTTTCATGAATTTAAAATACAGTGATATGAAGTTTGCAAACAGTGAACTCAAAGGAATTGCCAAGAGAAAAATCATAATAGAAAATGCATGTCTTAGACATGTCTTCCCTTTGCTTTATGGATTTATTTTAAATATGAGTATATTATTATATCTCTGGGTATATTGGATGTTGCACTAACTCACATAACATTGTATTAATTTTTTTCTCAAACTTTAGGAATTGGGAGGTCTGGGTAAGTAAATATTTCACCTAGATGTTTTGATCAGTATACAAGACTTATTGTATTTTGGTATTGTATTATCTCTTTTTTCATTAAAGCTTGAAAAATTAAATTACACTATTCGGTATCCTATGGTATTATACCCAGAAAGCAGAACTGGTTAAAAACAAGAGTCTCTATAGAAAACAAATTTAGATTATGTTTCATTTTTGAGGTACAGAAGTGTTGAAAATTACAGTTGAAAAACACTAGAGGACAATATAAATTCTGAAGCACAACAAATTTCCCTTGGTGTCCAAATAGAACTTTCCATTTGAATCCTTAACAATATCTATTGCTTAAGTATTTCTACTTAAAGATTACTACTTAAAGTTAAAGATTAACTCATATTGTAAATTACTTCAGGTAGAAATGGCATTGCCAACTATCTGGGTACTGAGCACAATAGTCAACCTAGAAATATTCTATGATGCAAATAGCACATTTTCTCAAATACTATGGCATGATACTAAATATTACTTGCCTAAAGAAATGAAATAAGTTCCCTAAATAATTTAATCCTTAATTATTAAGTCTGAGAACCAATCACTCAATCAGTCTCCTGAGTGTTTTTTTCATCTCATTTCTTCTGAGGCTTATCCTTATGAAACAGTCCCTCTGCCACGCAATTGTGCATTTGACATGGCTTTTCTTCTCATAACTGTTTCCAGTACCTTAGGGACTTACTAGCTTGCCTCTAGGTAAGGTAGGAATCTCCATTCAGATTAAATTTCTAAAATATTTAAGGAGGAAAGGACCACGGTTAATAACACTGGTAGAATACCACTGCCCAGAACTGCCCACATGCTGAGTGCAAATATATTAGCATTGTCATTTAGGATCCCCATTCACAACAAAGTGTGTGATCTCTGGTGGACACATAACTAAAGCATGTACCAGCACTACCATAAAGTGTGTAACCCCCCACCCCTATCCCACAAGCACCATAATGAACATGTGTGACTTCCGCTTGATAATGAAAACAAAAACAAAGGGAAGGGATACAATTTTTTAAAAAAACATGTAAGAACTACAAAGCAATGAATTATTTCCCATGTGTCATTTGGCACGGCTGCCAATATTGGCTGAACGCCTGGTTTGTCCCCTCTCACTGCCCATAGGCCATGCGGCTAATGCTCTCAACAATGGTCTCTGTGTTTTGGGACCATGTACTCTGAGAAGTTCTCCCTGTGAGTGACTCTAAAACTCCATTTTAAGTGTTAAAAGGGGACTCTCACTAAATGAGCTTATGATACTGAGAGAGTGTAAGGAGAACAATGCACTTTCTGAAGCTTTAAGTGGACAGAGAAAGCCCTGGTCCTTATACTTCCAGGAACATGTGTATGATGTGGGTGGAGGAGACAGAGAAAGTCTACAGTAAGCCTGAGTTGAGATTTTCCTCCTTGGAGGTAAGTACTTCCGAGGTGCAGTAAGTGCCTCATGATATGCTATGGGTAGAACTCAAACATCCAAACATCTCATACTATTACAGTTGAGGGGTGTTCTCAAGTTTGGGTGAGTCAATGGTAACAAAGCCTTGGGATAATTCAGGTCCTAGTTTTCCTCAAGAAGGAGACTCACAGGGCTGGAGTGATAGCACAGCGGGTAGGGCGTTTGCCTTGCACGCAGCCAACATGGCCGAACACAGGTTCGATTCCCAGCACCCCATATGGTCCCCTGAGCACCGCCAGGAGCAATTCCTGAGTGCATGAGCTAGGAGTAACCCCTGAGCATCGCAGGGTGTGACCCAAAAAGAAAAAAAAAAAAGGAGACTCACAAAAGGAGAGAGAGAGGGAGAGGGAGAGAGAGAGTGAGAGAGAGAGAGGAGAGAGGCTGGGAAGGAGAAAGATAGAGGGAGGAAGAGAGGGAGGGAGGAAGAGAGAGAGGAAGAGAGGGAGGGAGGGAGAGAAGAAAAGTGTTTGCCATAGAGGCAGGCTGGAGGGAGGGAGTGGCAGGAGGGAAAATGGGTACATTGGTGGTGGGAAATGTACACTGGTGAAGGGACAGATGTTGGAACATTGTATGAACTGAAACCCAATCATGAACAACTTTGTAACTATCAGATGGTGTTTCAATTTTTAAAAAATTAAATTTACAAAATAAGTAAATAAATAAATAAAAGAAGACTCTAAAAGAAAACTTCAAGAGAAATCAGCTCAGGATACAGAAATAAATCTCCCTAAGGCTAAGGAACTCCTCCATATTTCTATTGTTCTTAAGCACACAGTCTTAAAAAATGTGAATATATACTACCAGGTTACACAGGTACCTCTCATGCATTTTTTTTATTCCCAAATGCCCGAAGATCTCTATTAAATCCATAAGGCACCTTCAATCTAATATCTTCAAGTGGTGAGCTCATTGTTTTAAAGTTATTGCTTAGGGAATTTCATCAGAATGATGCTTCCAAGATAGAGTTTAAGGATTTAAAACAACAATATAGACTAAAATTTAAGTGAAATATAGACAATGTCAACAGATTTATAAATGATCCAGAGAGTGTTGTTACCTGACAATGTTTAAAAATAATTCTACTGGGCAAGGAGAGAGCTCAAGTGGTAGAGCACATGCCTCGTATGTTCAAAGCTCTATGTTCAACTCTGGTGCCATAGCACCCTTGAACATTGCTGGATGTGGTCCTGGTGTTCCTCAAACAACTCTGGGCCCAAGCACTGACCCTTTTTTTTTTACTTTTTGGGTCACACCCGTTGATGCACAGGGGTCACTCCTGGCTTTGCACTCAGGAATTACTCATGGCAATGCTCAGGGGACCACATGGGATGCTGGGAATCGAACCCGGGTTGGCTGCGTGCAGGGCAAATGCCCTACCCGCTGTGATAAAACTCCAGCCCCAGCACTGACCTTTCAGGCCTGTACTGCCAGGTCAAGTAATACCATGGGACGGCCCTCTATATGCCCTAAGCACTACTGAAAGTGGCTCTTACATATTCTAAAAACACATCCCCCAAAAAAGTAAAATAAAAACACATCCCAATATATTCAAAGAAATAAAAGATTGTGAATTTCAGCTGAAAATAGAAAAATTTTAAAAATAACCAACAGGAAGCCACAGAGATACTTCTGGGATTAAGGTACTAGCCTTGCTTGTGATCAACCTTGGTTCAATACAAGCACTATGGGTAATCCCTGGCTGTGCGGAGCTCAAGAAGTACTATGTTCTCTGTCCCTGGCACTGACCTGCCAACCCTATTGACAAAGAATCAGTGGGAGAGGTCCCCAAGCTTCCTAGGTACCACCTGGAAGGCCCTCAAATATATAAAATAACCAACTGAGAATTCTTGAATTTACAAGTTGCAGTAAGAGAAGTTAAAAACTCATTGGATAAGTTCAATAGCAAGCAGATGAATTTTAGCAATGTTAATAAATTTAAAGGTAACTTAGAATAAAGCCCAGGACACAAAGAAGAGAAAATGTCCCAACCACAGGGACACTGGATTAAAGTTAACAAGTACATGTAAGTGGCATTTCAAAAGAAGAGAGAAGGGAATAAAAACAACATATAAAGAGAGAATAGCTGAAATGTTCCCAAACTGATAAAAGACATGAACCTCCAAATCCATGATATCCGAAGTCAGATAAAGATGATCAAAATCACAAATAAACAATGAAAACTGTTAAAAGCAACATGCATAGACATGACTTTGGTCTTGTCACAGTTTTACTTCTTCACAATGTGTTCAAGTTTTATAGCAATAGAATATAATACAAGCCTGCTTATTGTTATTTTTATTGCTGTGTCTGTTCTGATTATTTTTTAAAGTATTAGGCAAGACAGTTTCGTACTAAGCCTTCACATGTAACCTGGTATTAAGTCTTCCTTACATGTTTACATGTTCCCAGCTTATCTCTACCTTGTGCAAATCTCTTTATCATCTTTCATAATAATAGAGAAATTCGTGAAAAACTCAGATTTGAATTATTTGTCAGTAGACTCTGTTGGAAAACTAATGGCCTGTAGGATCAGACCAATATAAGTTCACAGAATCATTTCATGCCCCCATGTCCAGAATTTGCATAAAGCAGGGGCTCATTAATGAGAGGAAGAGATGATAAAGAAATACATTTTTTCAGGGCTGGAGCAATAGCACAGCAGGTAGGGTGTTTGCCTTGCACGTGGCCGACCTGAGTTCGATTCCCAGCATCCCATATGGTCCCCTGAGCACCACCAGGAGGAGTAATTTCTGAGTGCAGAGCCAGGAATAACCCCTGTGCATTGCCAGGTGTGACCCAAAAAGCAAAAAAAAAAAAACCAAAACAAAACATTTTTTTCTTAGTGAATGGGAGCCTGGGAAATTACTTAATTTCACCAAGCCTTAATATATATATATATGTGTGTGTGTATGTGTGTGTGTATAATATTATAATATAGGTTAATAATACTTTTCTGGATGGACTGATTTTGAGAAATAATTTAATCAATACAGTCTCATTTCTTGTTTGAATTTATAAGCACTGAACAGTCTTGAAAAATCAAATCCCCAAATGCATGCATCTTAAAGAAAAGCTCATAAGCTGATAAAAATATAACAAAAGCCCCCTTTTGGGGTTCCATTCTACTGTAAAGAAAGAGCTTACATTCTTTTCTGTTCTCTTGATAATTACCTGCCAGTATGTTGATTCAGTCTGGGGCGCCATGGTTTCTATACATTTGTC